AACAAAAGGCATTCTGTTGCTTTGAAAATAGCTTACTGAAATAACAGCATCAAGCTTGTCATAGGAAAAATTCTTACTGCTTACAATAATAACGGTGAATGTGGATAATTAGTGTGTCCCTACCTCGAAAGCCCCAGAACTACAGGCCACCAACACCTGACTTGCATTATTGACTAATTATAATTTTGTTTTGTTTTCTTTTTTTTTTCTTTCTTTTTTATTTTTTTAGTATTTCAAGACAGGGCTTCTCTGTGTAGCTTTTGCTGTCCTGGAACTCACACTGTAGACCAGGGTGGTCTCGAACACCCAGAGATCTGCCTGCTGAGATTAAAGGCAGGTGCCACCGCACCTGGCTCTGTGTGCCATTGGGAACACCTGTGTGCCACATCGCACAGGTAGAGGTCAGGGGTCAACCTTGAGGAGGCTGTTCTCTCGTACCCTGTGAGGAATCCAGCCCCAGAAGTCCTGCTTGGCAACAGCACCTTCCGTCCCTGGATCACCTGGCTGGAGACACGGGGTTAGGGAAGATGCAGGTGTGGACGGCAGAAGATAGCTTGTAGGCATCGGTCTCGGGTTCCTCTTAGGGCATCAGTCTCAGTGGCAAATGCCTTGACCCACACAGCCAACTTGACAGCCTGGCTTGTGCTTTAAAATAGTTAATAAAAGTCTGAGGCTGGAGAGATGATTCAGGTTAAGAGCACTGGCTGCTCTGCCAACAGTCCTGAGTTCCAGCAACCATCTATAATGACATCTGATGCTGCCTATTGGTGGGCAAGTGTACATGCAGACAGAACATTGTATACACAATAAACACATAAATAAACATTAAAAAAGCCTGGAAAGTATTTTGTGATTTGTGGCAATATTATGCAATTGAAAGTGTCCTACGCGGGTGGGAGCACAGCTTTGCTCATTTAACGTGGCTGCAGCACACAGTGCAGCCTGTGCACCCTAAGCATCGACCATGCAGTTGGGTAGAGAAAAGAGTGCTGGCTGCTCCTCCAGAGTTCAAGTCCCAGCATCTGCGAGGCAGCGCACAACTGTTTGTAACTCCCAGTCCAGGGGCTACGACACCCCACACCGACATACGTGCGAACAAACTGCCAGTGCGCTTAGAAACAACAAAGCCCAGGGCAACAACCCGGCACCCGTCCCAGGGGGACAGGGAAGCCGAGATCTTTGGCATGAGAAAGTGTTAGCTGGTCCAGGGCCGGGTGGGCTCGGCACCTCCCATGTTAGGGAGCCCGTGTGGCACCCTTCCCTTGCATTGGGATCTAGGCATTTAGAATGCGGCTCTCCTACGGCAAAGCCTGGAAGAATCCAGTGTGGAAGCAGCAGGAAAGCTCAGCTCGGCAGGTAAAGGCACTTGCTGCCAAGTGTGATGACCTAGTGCTGTTCCCAGGACCCACGTGATAGAAAGTTGACCCCTGATCTCAGCACTTGCATGTCCTCCACGCACAAAATAAGCGGGTGGGGGGAGGCTTGGGTGGCTCCTTCACACCTGAACCAACAGGTTTTGGTTCCCACGCAGGAAATGAATGCACTGGTCTGTTTACTTTTGTGGGGGTGGGAGCGGAGCGAAATGGAGGGTTCATTCTGTGGTCCAGGTTGGCCTGGACCTCCGGATCGTTTCCTCGGCTTCAGGTGTTGGGGCAAAGGCGTGCAGCACACCGGCGCTCCGGCTCTGAGCAGACACAGCTGATGCTCCCACCAGCGAATCGCTGGTCTCCAGTCCTTCCCACCATCCAGCCTTAGCCCCGAAACACCCTTCTTTGAAGTTTCCCCCATCACTCCGGTAGAGGAGCTCAACCTCAGATCCGTGACTAGTGCTAGTTATGTTGAGGGTAACTCACGCTCTCTCCTCGTCAGACCTAGGTACTTTCCTGACACTTCCCACTTCCTGTACAAAGAAGGTGCCTTTTTCACCTCTTCACCTGCCTGCAACAAGTGAACCTCTCTCTTAAGACACCCCCACTCAGCCCAGGGACCCTGGGCTTGAGGGGTGCTGGGGTGGAAAGGGAGACCTCCACAGGCCACTCAAGCAAGGTGCTCCTTAAGGGCCCCCGGTTCAGTCTGCTAATAAGAGAAATCAAAGGATGTAAAGATGTAACAATAGCAAATGTTAACCCCCGAATACAACAGCCGGGTTTGGCGTGGGGGCTCCACCCCGAGCTCTGGAGCATCACCGCAAGCTCCAGGCAAGCCAGAGTTGTGGAGGAGCAGGCAAGAAAAGAAAGAAAGCGGACAGCTGCAGAGAGCTGGAAGGCAGAAGCTCCTACATTCCCTCCATCTCACATCCTTGATCCTTAGAGTCCCCCTTGACCCTCCCCTACAGCCTTGGCACAGGTAGCTTGTGCAGAGACACTCAAGCCCTGGGCAGCAGCCTGGTATTTTGGGCTCCACTTCACTCATGGGGACCAGAAAGTGGACGGGGCAGGGAGTGTAGAAACTCTGGCAGGCCCACCTTTGCAGCTGGGCGCACCTGCCTACCGCGTGGCCGAGAGGGGTGAGGAAGGCCAGTCACTGAAGTTAGCAGAGGCTGAAGCGCAATTGAGCAGGTATTTACCCCAGGAAGTTGAAGTAAGCGGGAGGGGAATCCCTGCCCACTGGAGCCTTTTAAAAATAACGCATGCCCCAGAGCTTCCTGCATGCAAAGTGGACTCTCACCCAGCTCCGCCCAGCACAGCTGAACCTGAGACCACACAGTCCATCAGTATCCCTGAACCACCTCCTCCTGGCAGCAGACACTCAGAACGGAGGACTCCTTGCCATGTGCTGGCCTCTGCGCACGCTTGTGCTCTGTGCACGTCCTTTCTCCTGTCCCTGCCACCCCATCTCAAGTCTCAAAGGTCCAGTTCTTTTAAGCCCTTGCCTAAATTCCCCCCAGCGCACCCAAACCAGGGCTTCACCACATCAACCCGCCCCTGCTCAGACCCTCCAGAGTTTCAGAGGTCAGCAAAGCAGTGTCTGGCCACATCGCTCCTTCTTGGGGACAGGGGGAAGGCTGCCTTAAGTCAGGCCTCCCTTCCCAGAAAGGTCTGCTCTGACCCCACACTGCTCACAGTCCCTAAGGACAGTCCAGTCCTTAGGGACTGCGAGGAGGAAGAGGAGGGCAGGGCTCCTCCCACCCCCCAGAGTGGGACCACACTCAGGGGCTATCAGAAAAAGAAGGGAAGTGTTCTTGAGGTTCAGGGGAACTCCAGAAGGCCAGGGCTTGTTCTCCACCTGTGATTGGCTCTCAAGCCCAGACCAAACTCTAACCCTGCCCAGCAACAGCCCTAAAAGGCCTGAGAAGGGAGGGGAAGTTGAGCCGTGGCCTCCACCCTAGCCCTGCTTCCAGGAACTGATGGGAGTCGGCGCAGCCACCCTCCTTTGCTCTGGGACTCTGCCTTCCCTGCCTGTGTCTAGAAACTAGTTCCTATGCCCCGTGTTCCTAGACCCCACATCTTTGACTTCCCTTCCAGGCTCTCCAGAGAAAGAAATACATCTTGACACCTCTTCAGAGGCAGAGCATTCTTGTAGCCTCCTTGCTTAAGCTCTGTCCTGGGTGAAGTCAGTTTTCCCCCCGCCCCCCCTTGGTGTTTCTTGAGTCAGGGCCTTGGCCTTGTGATTCCTCTGCCTTAGCTGGGATCACCCCATGGCTTCATTATTGTTATTATTATTATTATTATTATTATGAAGAAAAAAAGAGAAAGGAAAGGACATGACTGCTCCTAGGTATGATGAAGAAAACTTACAGATAAAAGGGAGAGCATAACCAGAGGCAGCCACAGCTGGGAGAATCCAGAGTGGTCAGGACCATAAGGAGATGGGGGAGGGGAGAAAGGAGCCAGGTGTAGCAGCCACGAGGCCAAAGGTACAAAAGGGGCGGGTGTCCAGCCTGGTTAATTATATAGGAAAGAGCAGCCCAGGCCCTGGAGCTGGGAGAGCCAGGGCAGGGGGTGGAGTATACCAGTCAAACCCTGTAACAGGTAGAAACTGAGGGATGCTGGGAGATCCTGGCAGCCAGGTCCTCTTTGATATGATAAGTAGGTGCCTCCGGCCGTTTGTCTACGTTTGAAAAATAACAATTTTCCAACCCCTCCTTCCTCACCCACTCTCCTGCCACTGTGCTGTCTGTCTGCGCAACCACATCCAGCCCGAGGAGTCCCAGTGTACCGAGCTAAAGGATTTGCTACAGTAGAGAAACCCCCGCAGAGTCTAAATATGGTCAGAAAACAGAGTCGCTAAGAAAAACTGTCTGCAGGCTTTTGCTAATGGCCGAACTCAGCTCGTGTGGAGAAGCAGGGATGGGATGGGCTGCCCCCAAAGGGGGTAAGGGGGCTCCTGACCTCAGAAACTCGGGCCTCAGAACTGTAAGGGCAAGGGAAGGAAGGGTTTGCGCTAGGGAAAAAGCTGAACCCTTTACCTTTAGCAAGTTATTTACTTTGAAAGAAACACAGGCGAGAGAGAAGGGGAGGAGGCCGGTGAGACATCTCTGAGGAATGTGTCTCTGGCAGGACATCGGGTACTGCCCTTGGCCCCTCCTCCCTCAGTCCCAGAGAGTCAGGCGAGGGAGCAAAGTCACCACCACGTGCCCCGGTGGGAAGCCGTAAGCCAGGCTTTCAACAGGGAAGTGGGTAAAAGACATGACAGAGCTATAGCAAGAGGACCTGAAAAGTGGAACCCGCACACACGAGCCAGCTTGGCCCTGGATCGAAAAGTCCTGCTGGCTTCCTACCCAGGAGGAGCCCACCACAGGCTCTGTGCCGGGGTCCTTGCACCCACCGGGCTCCCAATCAGGGAGTAGTGACCTCTAGTGGCCCATGAGCCACCTGCAGTTCTGGGCAGGACAGGGTCTCAGAGCCTGGCCGCCCAGCTCTGAGGCTTTCCTCCACAGCCCTTGAAAGACCACCCTGCCCTCCGATCCCAACGTGCTGGTCCCCCTCACGCACCATATTCTGGCTTCACACTGCTCGGATGGCGGGGTCCCCACGAGGGTGATGGAAAGCATGTTTCTTACTTGTCACAATCAACTTTAATAAAAAATAAATTAGTTCTGGGGTGGGCATCGTTTTCGGCGTGAAGCGGGGGCTGGGGCCAGGGCGTTTTAGGCTGACATTTGTCTACCTCACCCTCTACAAAACTGGTCCCTGCTCTGGAGAGGTGCTCCTCCCTGGGCAGGGCAGGGTAGCAGCGGCACCCCCAGCTGGGCAGGGAGGTCGGGGTGCAGAGACTAGATAAGGCAGGATCCACAAGGTCGCTGGAGGGGCGTGAGGGGCCTGACGCGGAAATGATTGGGCCGCAACACTGGACGTCCACCTCAGGGAGCACACTCCGAGTGGCTCAGGTTCGTGTGGAAACGTAACCTTCCTCCGCGGCCCGGGCCGCGGCCCACGCTCTCTCAGCCTGCTTTTGAGGAAGCCATATACATGTGGAGGGGGACAGCCGCCCAGGGAGGCCAGGGGCATCACACCGCCCTCGCCCTGGAGGACACCTCCGGTGAGACTGAGACGGGGTGAAAAGCCAGAGGACACAGAGTGGCTAGTCAACGGGTGACCGGTGGCGGCGTGAGAAAACCACGAAAGACGGGGTCTCCTGGGCCCGGTTCAAGCAGGCTCCGGCTGGGACCGCTCCAGGACGTGCGCGCAGGAGCGGCAGCAGGTCGCTGTGTAGTAGGGGTAGACGCAGAGCCGGGCCTGCACCACCAGGGGGCAGTGTGGAGAGCTGTCCTTGCATTGGTCATCTGAGGACAGGGGTCAAAGGGCACAAGACAGGACTGGCGTCCCCCCCCCCCCCCCGGAAGCGCGCTCTCCACGCCCACCAGCCCATCTCACATCTGCCCCCCCACCCCGTTCCAGCTAAACCCCCTCTGTTCGGGGTGGGCGGGGAAGCTCTTTACCCGGGCGCTGGTTGCAGGGTTGGCCGTTACAGGGCCGCTTCCTGGAGGGTCGCAGGTGAGGGGGACATCGGGCGCTGAGAGTGTGGTTGGCGCTCAGGCACTGGACCTCTCTCGTCTGCGTGCCTCCCTGGCAGGAGCGAGAACACTGGGGAGACCATAGCCATCAGAGGAGATCTCTCAGGTTCCCAGGGCCGCTGCCCTGGCCACCCCCTTCCTCTCTGCAGGATAATGGCAGAACATTATCCAGGGACACGATGAAATCCCAGATGGAGGGGATCTGTGTCCTCCGAGGCTACGTGACATGGGGGCAAAACTCAACTGGGTTGTCCTGGGCTGGTAGGGACCTGGCTGCGTGCACAGCTTTGCTGGAGGCCCAGGCGGAGCAGGGCGCGGGAGCCAGGCACTCACCGGGCTCCAGAGCGTAGAAAACCATCGGTCCTCACAGGCCTGGCCCTGGCAGGGCTGCAGGGCAGGGGGCCTGGGCAGGTGGGAACAGTTGCCGGGAGGAGTCACGTTGAACTCAGCCCCCAGTTTGGACACACAAATAACGTCTCTGTGCTGTGTGCCGGACCCACACTCTGAGGAGCACTGTAAGGCAGGGGGAGAGAGATCACCCTTCCGCCACCAGCGTGGAACTCACAGGACTGGCTTCACTCCCTCCTGATGGTCTCAGGGCCCTCAGCTGACCTCACTCCAGGGCCCTGTGTACCAGCGCCACGTCCTCTCACAGGGCCCCAGGCTGCAGGCTCGCATGTCCGGAGGGCGGCTCCTGAGGGGGCAGCCCTGCTCGCTGCTCCCCGCTTCCCGGTCTCCCTGCAGGCTCTCCCCGCTCCTCAGGCACACCACAGAGCGCCTCTGGATTCCTGTCCCGCACTCCGCCGAGCACTGTCGGAAGGAGAGGGCCTGTGTGAAGGGAGGCTGCCGGGGCCAGGACCCAGGTGGGGAGGGCCCCCATCCGGGGAGCTCAGGAATGCCCCTGGGGCGCCAGCCTGGGGGAGAAGACAGCTGCTGGCCTCGAACTTGGTGTAAGGCTGAGATAACCTTAAATGTCTGGTCCTCTGGCCTCTTTGTGTGCTGGGATTACAGGCGTGTGCCACCACATCCGGTTTATGTGGTGGTGGGGATCATAAGTAGGGCATCATACATGCTAGACAGGCACGCTACCAACCCAGCTACAGCCCACCTTGTTCATCTTTTTTATAAAATTGCACATATGTGATTTTTTTTTAAGGCAGGATCTCCTTAGGTAGCGCTGGCCTTCTTGGAACTCACTGTGTGAAGCACACTAGCCTCAAACTCGGGTAGGATTAAAGTGTTGGTCACCGCCTCGTCCAGCCTATGTGTGTGCTGTGCGGGCGCGGGGCGCATACGATTGGTCCCCTCCCTCCACTGTGAGCTCCTCGCTCAGGTCATCAGGCTTTCCCTGCAAGTGCTTTTCACCTGCTGAGCCATCTGCTCGGTCTGTTGTTTTATGTGTGTGTGCCTGCGTGTGCCACAGAGGCCAGGAGAGGGTGCACAGAGCTCGTGGAACTGGAGTCGTCAGTGGTTGTAAGCCACTTGATGTAAGTGCTGAGAACTGAACCCAGGTCCTCGGGACGAGCAGGGTGTGCCTGCCCTTACCTACTGAGCCATCTCTCCCGCCCATATTTTGTTCGTTGGTTGGTAGTATTTTTTTCAGACAGGGTCTCGTTTTGTAGCCCTGGCTAGGCTAGAACTCAGTATGTAGACCAGGCTGGCCTCAAACTCACAGAGATCCCCCTGCCTCAGCTGGGATTAAAGTTGTGCGCTGCCATCCTTGGTTAGCCCGGTTTTGTTTTCATTTTTTTTAAATATGTAATTTATTTTATGTAGGTAAGTGCTCTATCTGCATGTACACCAGCACGCCAGAAGAGGGCACCAGATCTCATTACAGGTGATTGTGAGCCACCATGTGGTTGCTGGGAATTGAACTCAGGACCTCTGGAAGAGCAGTTGTTTTTGTTTTTGTTTTCGAGACAGGGTTTCTCTGTGTAGCCTTGGCTGTCCTGGACTCTTTGAAGACTAGGCTGGCCTCAAACTCAACAGCAGTCCGCCTGCCTGCCTCTGCCTCTCAGAGTGCTGAGATCACAGGTGTGCACCACCATGCCTGGGTCTGCTAGGTGATCGTGGCGCACACCTTTAGTCCCAGCACTCAGGAGGCAGAGGCAGGCATATCTCTGTGAGTTTGAGGCCAGCCTGCTCTTCAGAGCTAGTTCTAGGACAGCCAAGGCTACACAAAGAAACCCTGTCTCCAAACAAAACAAAATAAAACCAGAGGGGTTCTACTACAGCTCATGTGACCAGGAGCTGTGGAGTCCAGCCTGGCCTGGCCCTCTCAAATCAGCCTCCCAAATACCGACGTGACGGGTGGGAAGGTCAGTATTGCCTACTCAACTCTGAGTCCCTAGGTCACGAACAAAAAGTTCCAGCAGTGAAAGTCTGTGTCGCACAGGCTGTGACAGGGTGGCCCGGGGCGCAGTCGGCAGGGAAGCCGGACTTGCCCGAAGAAGTGTGGGACCCACCTTGGAACTCCAGTCACTGTAGAACCAGGCTGTGGTACAGGGGCCCATGTCGCAGGCCTCTCTGCTGGGAGGTGGGGGTGGCCCGGAAGCACATTCCTGCTTGCTCACTTCATCACCGTTGTTTCCAACACACCGAACCTGCCGGCTCCTTTGACCGCGACCACAGCGCACAGAGCACTGAAGGATGAGAGACCCAGGCCGGGCGTCAGCCATCCTCCAGCCCCGCTTCTACGGAACCAGGGCTCTACAGACGGAGGGAGCGGAGCACAGGGCCGCAGGCTGCCAGTCCTGCCTGGTGCGTCCATCTGACTGATACTGTCTGTAAAGTTCCTTTCTCACCTGGCTCCAGGGGGAGCTAATCTCCCAGTGGCCACAGAGGTGCAGCTGACAAGGCTGGGTGATGTTGGGCCGGGGCAGGTGGGCACAACGCTCTGGAGGTACTGAGGAGCCACCGTCTCCAAACTCCTGTCTGCAGAGCAGCTGGCGGTGCTGGGTGCCAGGGCCACAGGATCGGCTACAGGAAGTCCACTCACCAGCCTCCCAGCTGTGGGCGGGGCAGCGGGAAGGGGGTTGGGGGTGAGCAGAGACCTGTGGGGACGCTAGCCTGGACCCTCAGGGGAGAGGAGGCAGAGCTCACACTGCATTTCTAGCCGGGAAGGAGGTTGAAAGGGTTTTCTTCTAATGTCTCCCTGCGCCAGGAGCTGTGAAATTGCTACACAGTCCAGGTAAGAACCTGAGGGCAGGGAACAAGCCCGGGACCATATCCGGGTTAAGTATCCTGACCCTCCCTGTGGGCCATACTCACTATGGGGGACACGGGGGCCCATGGCAGGGTTCAGGGGAGGCCGGGGGTTTGGCACCCATGGCACAGCTCTGGTCCTCCAACTCCTCTCCCGACTCACGGGAAATGCAGAGGAAAAGGGGGCGCCAGACACCTGAAGGGAAAAGGAAGGCAGTCGGGGGAGGCAGGGCTCAGGGCCCAGATCCAGCGAGGTTCCACACACAGGGTCCAGGACAGACCCACGGTCCAGGATATAGAACCTATGCAGATCCATCTAGAACGGGGCTTTGGGATGAGGTGCCCGCAAGACAGGCATGAAGTCTCACCTTTTCCACAGGATGCTGAGCATGCAGAGTGCCCTGCCTGCTTCCAGTATCCCACCGAAGACCCAGCCGACCTGACGTGAGTCGCAGCAGGCACTTGGGGAATCCGCACCTGACGCTGGAGCGTGCCTGGTGCCCGAACTGGGCGGGGGGCTGAAGCGAGCAGGGGCTCCCCCCGCAGCATCTCTGTCGGGAAGTCCAGGGGCCAGATCAGATGGCTCCCTGCAACCCAGGAGCCCCATGGCAGCCTCGCCCTCCGCTTCTGGGTCTGGGGATCCTGGTTTTACCAGGCTGAGGCTGCAGGGCCGGACGCTGGGTGGACGGACTCTCTAGGACCGCAGGCGGGGAAGAGATGACATACTGATAAAAAACCCCGGGGTTGTCCTCCTGGAAGATCATCTGAGAGAGAAGATAACAAATGTTTCGGGCGTACACGAGCTTCTGCCATCTTTGATCCCCACTGCCTCGCCCTCAGGGGCCTTCCTCTCCAACTGCCTGGCCCCACCTCCCGCTTCAGGCTCACATAGACATCCACGGGCTGGGTGGTAGGGCCTTCGGCGGACAGACTCTCGCCCTTGCCTTCCTCCCTCGGAGGCCGGTTATACTGGAAGACAGTCCCGATGGCCGGATAGGCCCCTGGAGGATCCACAGCCCAGTTCCCATTGATGATGGAGCTGCCTCCAGGCCCACGAAGTGCTGAAAGACGGAGACCTGAGCTGAGCGATAGTGTGCTGGCTGGTGCTGTCTATGTCCTGAAGCCCTTGTGTGCCCAGAAGCCAAGGACCTCAGCCACCACCTTCCCCACCCTCTCCACAGGCCTGGGAGAAGGCCACCAACCTCTTCCTGTTGGGCCTTTTGCTGGGCTGAAGAGGGTGTGGAAGGCACATCAAAGAAACAGGATGGCCTGGGGCTGGGGGCCGAGGCCCAGTTTCTCACCGAGGTAATTGGAACTGGGTCTGAGCTGGGCAATCTGCAGGCGGGAGGCGCCAGCCGGGATCCACAGGATCTTCTGATAGCCCAAGGGGCCCCCTCGATCCGTGAGGTTTCCCGAAACAAGACGACAGGTAGAACCATCGCCTCCACAGACCCCACAGCCATCCGGACGCCTGCCAGAGCCAAGGATCCCATCACAGCCGGGGCTCTGGGGAGAGTGAGGTGAGGCAGGGCCACACAAAAGCCAGGCACACCTCACACCTGGCCCTACTCCACTCAGGGCCCCAGCTCAGCCCTGCCCTTCTGGTGCTTCCAGCGAGAGTGTGTTCTGTGAGCTCCTCCATCCTCAACCGGGTTTGGAGAACCCTAGCCAAGTCTGGTAGGACCCTGCCCTCCACCTACCCCTTACCCTGCAGCAAAAACTTCCCCCTTGACGGCCTCAGTCTAGCGTTTTCACTTTTGTAATAATGAACTAAAGGAGTGTGTGTGTGTGTGTGTGTGTGTGCACGCACACATGATCGAAGGTGCACATGCAGAAATCAACGCCTTGCCCTCCCTCACCAACGCTCTGTCCTCCCTCACCAGCACCCTGCCCTCCCTCACCAACACCCTGCCCTCCCTCACCAGCACCCTGCCCTCCCTCACCAGCACCCTGCCCTCCCTCACCAACGCTCTGCCCTCCCTCACCAACACCCTGCCTTCCCTCACCAAGCAGCGTCCAGCCACACAAATGTCTAAGGATCCGGGCTGGCACAGGGTCCCATCCTGCACCTTTTCCGTGTGACGGACATAGAACCGGAAGCCACGGGGACGGCAGTTCAGCTCACAGCGCTGGGAGCCCTGAACTAAAGGATGTTGGTGAGTTAGCTGGGATCCCTGGAGGACGCAGCACCGCAGAGCCCCGACAGCCTCTATCACATGTGGGGCACGCTGATGCTGCTGCGGAGGCAGGGAGGGCCGGCTGCCCGTGCTGAGGGCTTTACGGTATTTGTTAAGCCATGTTGGGCTCACGTTATATGTTATGTCATGTTACGCTTGTGAATTTGACTGATTCTCCCCGCTGGAGGTCCCTGGGCAGGGTGTCAGCATGCTTGGCCAGGGCTCACCTCCTGATCCTGGCAGAGCTGGAGGAGAGGCTGAAGCAGCATTACACATAGCCGGAGCCTGCACAGCAAGGGGGTGAGGACGTCAGAGGGAGCCAGAGGCTTACAGCACTGCCCGCCCCACCCAGGCTCCCCACAGCCTGGCTGCCAGCTTCTCAGGAAGCACAAGTTCCTTGTCGCTTGCCAGCCCCCCTCCAGCATCCCTTCCCTGCTCTTTCTCTTTCTACTCCTCCCCTTCCTCTCTCTCCTCTCTTTTGTTGCTGATTTGTTGTCTGTTCTTTTTTTTCTTCGAGACAGAAACCCTGTTGTAGCCTTGGCTGCCCTGCAACTCTCTCTGTAGACCAGGCTGGCCTCAAAGTCACAGAGATCCACCTGCCTCTGCCTCCCCAAGTGCTGGGACTACAGGGGTGCAGGGCCAAAGCCCCTCCCAGAGACAGAGCTGTCCCCTGAACGGACACCCCTGGCGCTTACCTGCCCAGCCAGGCCTCCATCGCTCTTCCGTGACCGCCCCTGGGCTGGGCAACAGGGGGCAGGGCAGCTACTCTGGCATCTGGGCATGGAGGGTGCTCTGAGGAGGAAGGAGCACGGTGCTTACCCCTCTAGATATCTGGGGGAACTGAAGGGCTGTCTTAGCACAGCACCAACAGTGTGGGGGGGATGGTCCATCCCTTTAGGACTTAAGGGTGGGAGTAATAAGGGGTGTTGTCTTGGTCATCTGCTGAGGCGAGGGTGGGAGTCTGACCTCAGCCTCCCAGTTCAGTTTAGTCCCCTCCCTATGGCCCAAGATGGGCTTAGCTCCTCAGGAAGCCTGAGGAGGGGCTGTTTGTGGGCAGCTTGGACCCAGGAGGTCCTTTTTCCCAGAGCTCCAGGACCTAGAGGAGGCAGGTTATGCCAGGCGCCCCTGTAAGGGGACAGCCAGAGGCCTCTTAGTATCAGGTGTAGGGGCACAAGCCTTAATACCACACTTGGGGTGGTATTTTCCTCCCCTCTTAACTAAGCTGCTGTGGAAGGAACAGTCTCATGGGCTGCCACAGGCATTTTTTGTCCAGGGGACACGCTAAATGGGAAAAGGTGGTGACTTAACCTTGCTATGGGTGCCAGCACCTCCGAGGCACAGGCTCATGTCGACTTAGTTCATGTGCAGTTTTCCTCTTTTTTATTTTTTCTCCTACTGCTCAGCCAAAATGGCTGGGGCGCCCGAAGAAGGAGAGAGGCAGCCATAGCTTCCCAGTCTGTCCTTCGGGTATGTGGCATGGGGTACAGTTTACCCTCAAGCCCAGCCTTGAACCCTGATTAGCCTGCTTAGACAGATTCCATACCCTGTCGCCAAAGTTTGCCTGTCCCTACTCCAGCCCCTCCCTTCTCTTTGAGGTCCTTTCTGCCCACACCCCTCAACCCATCTCAGTTCTGCTTTCCAGGAAAAACACTGTTTCTGCTGGATCTGAATGGCACCGTGACAGCAATCCAAGGATGCTGGCCAAGGTAGGCCAGCTCAGGGCAGGCAAAGGCCAGAGAGCAGGCAAAGCTAGGTCCCGCTGCTCCCCCCGGAACCCAGGCCTTGGGAATTTGGGGAGGGATCAAAGCGGCTCCTGCAGCTGGGGAAGAGGTAACAGGCACCCCCTCCTTCCCCTGGCTGGGCCAGCCACTGGGGTCCATGCTGCACAACCCACCAAGCACCAGCACGCTACCTGCCTGCCCGGAGGCTGGAAGAAAGAAGAAGGGGGTGTGATGGACCCAACCTGCCTCTTCTTCAATACTGGTCCCCTCTGCACCGCCCTCTGCTTCTCTCTGCTCCCCCGGTTCTGTCCCTGCTGCCTCTCCCTCCGTGGTCTACCCAGGACACATAATCCTGTCCTGAGCTGGTTTTGGCAGCTCTCTGGAGAAGTGAGGGGTGGGGGGTGATGAGAGCTCCTGGCTCCCTCTCTGGAAAAGTCCACCCCACCCTCCCCTGCAAAGGGGACAGGAGGCCGACACCACCTCCCTGCACAAGTGTGTGCTTGTTGTCCCTTTTAATGCCCAGGGTGAAGGTGGAGGTGGGCACCCTGAAGTCAGGGTGAGGACAAACCTAGGCTGTTCCTGGTCACCGTCCCCGTGCCCCCCATTGGACCAGTGACATCGAGGAGCGTGCCCTGCACAGAGCTAACCCTTCACCCCAGGGCAAAGGAGCCATCGCTGGGGAGAGGAGCGCTCCCGAGGGCTAGGCTGGCAGGAGAGGGGTGCTGTGCTGTCAGAGTGCCTGGGGTTCTACCGGCTCCTCAAAGGCCATCCATCCCGACAGGTGTCTTTCTTTTCCCTCAGCCTCTCCGCGCAGGCTGCGCTGTGCGAAGGTCACGCACGCGCAGCCCTCCCTGACACCCTATCCCCGCGTTCCCCAAGGCGTTGGGGTGCACGCTCCGGGAGGAGCGGGCGGCGCCGGCGCGCAGGGAGGTCCCGGGTGTCTCTTCCAACTCCACTATGTGAGTTAATAGGAATCTTGGCTCCAGCCCTCGCCCGGGTGATGGGACCCGGCGTCCCCGGGACCAGACCCCCTCCCCAGGAATTCGCTCGAGGGTCCGCTCTCCGGCTACCGTCCGAGCCCGGGCCGGGGGTCGGGGAGGCTCTACCTTCTCTGCGCCCGTTCTCTCCAGCTGCCCTCCGCGGCGGCTACGGCTGCCCCGAGCCCCGGGACAGCGCCGCCCGCGGCAAGCTCCGCCCCACGCCACGCGCGCCCCGCCCGCCACGCGCCGGCCCCAGCCACCCACCCCGGGTGCCCGACGGCTGCCACCCCGGCCTGCGCCCGCCCGAGGACTCCGGGCCCCACCGACCCTAGCGGGGCGGCCTTCGGGTGGAGGCTGAACCCGAAGGACCCGGGCAAGCCGCGGACCCCGAGCAGGGGCGTGTGGCCCTGCGCAAGCTCAGCTCCGCCCAAGCCCTCTCCTCCAGGCAGCCCGTGCCTCCGCTTTTCCCATGCTGGGCAGTGAACCATGTGGCTCTGATGGCCCGGGACGTCTGTGAGCCTCGGTTTCTTCATCCATAAAATTTTACACCCTGGAGCTTAGCGGAAGGAATGCGCGCTGAATTATGAGTCAGACGGATTTGGATTTGGATTTCAGCGTGAGCGCTTGCCAGCTCTGTGGTCTTCCCTGAGCACTTCGGCTTCAGCAGTGCCGTCTGCAGAATGGGAGAATCTGCTGTGTGCACGCGGCCGGGAATGTTTGTGAAGGATGACACTGAGGAGGAGTCCCAGGCTTGGACCTCGCTGTGCGCACACACCAGCTACCCCCAACTCAGAGGGTTGGGATTAAAGGCATCTGCCACCACTCCTATCCAACCCTGTAAATTTTTTAAAAAAACAAAAAACACGTAGGGCATTCGAGGCCAGCCTGGTCTACAAGGGTGAGTGCCAGCCAAGGAAGGCGACACAGAGAAACCCTGTCTTGTCTTTAACAGACAAACACAGAAGATTTGGTAGTCCATGCTTGTAATCGTAGCACTTGGGAGGCTGAGGCCGGGGAGCCACTGCAAGTTCAAGAGCAGCCTAGCGAGATCTCGGGCAGGCTGGGGTGCAGAGCGAGGCCATCCATCGCAACAGTAAAGGTACCGAGCAAGTTTAGGGAGATGGCTCGGCCGCTGAAGGCTAGGCTCCCCGCCCAAAAGTCCAGCAACATCAAAATAACCCTTGGTGCCACAGCCTGTTTCTTGGGTATTCTTACACCTTGTGCTGAGCACACAGAAATTTCTTTCTATACTCAAATGACCACTTCGGAGTTAACCCGGGGCCCTGCAGAAGCTGGGTCCGTCTCAAAGATGGAGGGTGTATTTATAAAACAGTGCTAGGGCCGGGGTGAAACTCAGTGATGACGGCAGAGCTTTGCCTGCAGGAAGCCCTGGGTTCCATACCCAGCCACCAGCAGGGCAAAGGGGTACCGTTTGCTATTCAGACAGGCTCCTGCAACTATCGGGGAGGATGAGGGAAACATGCTAGGTAGCCCAGGCTGGCCCCAAACTTGAACTTCCCTCGCTTCAGTCACTGGAGTCTGGGGTTACAGTATTGAAATAAGCCAGAATTTAAGGTGCAGGCTGGAGAGATGCTCAGAGGTTAAGAACACAGGCTGTTCTTCCAAAGGTCCTGAGTTCAATTCCCAGCAACCACATGGTGGCTCACAACCATCTGTGGTGAGATCTGGTGCCCTCTTCTGGTGTGCAGGCAGAATGCTGTATAGATAATAAATAAATAGCTAGATAAATAAATAACTAAATAAATGGAATTTAACATGTGTATTTTCTTTACTGCAGCAAATCCCAACATTCTCCCAGGACGGACATTACTTACACACTTCTGCTTTTCGTGTTCTGTGTTTGTGGTTTGTAGAGTTACAAGAAATATGGGAATTGGTGATAATAAGCTCGATCCTAGCATTAAGGAGTCTGGGCCCTGCACAAGAACTGTGAGTTCAAGGCTAGCCTGGAGAAAGAGAGGCTGGAGAGGTGGCTCAAAGGTCTGGAGTATTTGCAAGGGTTCTATTTCCAGGACCCACACGGCGGCTCACACCTGTCTGTACCCCAATACTGCAGTTCCGGGGGACTCCGTGCCGTGCCCTCTGCTGACCTCCTTGGGCACCAGGCATGCACATAGCACATGTACATCTGTGCAGGCAAAACACTCACACACATAAAGTAAGAAAAAAGATTTTTTAAAAAAGGATATGGAAGAAAGTTTGTTTTCAAAAAGGTGGGTGGCGAGGAAGAGAAGGGATAATAACATTCGGATTGGTCAGGGAGCTGAAGGGATGGCTCGAGAGCGAACAAGGCCAGGCTGCTCTAGCAAAGGCCGCAAGTTCCAGTCTCAGCAGTCAAGTCTGGAACGTCAGAGCTGCTCCTAATCCAGCTCCAGCACCTCTTCTGGACACCGTGCTCCTGTGCCAACACTCTCCCTGCACACAAACACAATTTAAAAATAGCTGGGTATCGAGGCACACACCTTTATTTTACTTCATTTTTTAAAGATTTGTTTGCATTAGTTGGGCTTGGTGGTGCACGCCTTTAATCCCAGCACTCTAGATGTAGAGGAAATGGATCCCTGTGAGTTCCAGGCTAGCCTAGTCTACACAGTCCCAGGATAACCAGAGCTACGTTGAGACACCCTGTCTCAACACACACCCCCAAATATTTATTTTTATATATTTTCTGAGTATGAGTGTTTTGCTTGCATGAATGGACACTCTCTGTGTGTCTGGTGCCTGCAGAGGGAAGAGGCCATTGGATCCCCTGGAACTGGAGTTACAGATGGCTGCTGGGAAACAGACCTGGCTCTTCTGTGAGAACAGTAAGCACTCTTGCCCACTGAACCATCTCTCCAGCTCTATTAGATAAATAATAAATAAAAGGTTTCTAAGCAGTAGTGGTGCACACCTTTAATCCCAGCACTTAGGAGGCAGAGGCAGGAGGATCTCTGAGTTTGAGGACAGCCTGATCTACAGAGTGAGTTTTGATATAGCCAGGGCAACACAGAGAAACCGCATCTTGAAAAAAAATGTTTACTAAATAAAAAAAAAAAAAATTAGTGTATTTTGGGCTGGAGAGGTGGCTAAGAGATTAAGAGAACTGGTTGCCCTTCCAAAGGTCCTGAGTTCAATTCCCAGTAACCACACAGGTGGCTCACAACTATCTACAATGAGCTCTGGTGCCCTCTTCTGGAGGGCAAGCACACATGCAGGCAGAATATTGAATACATAATAAATAAATAAATAAATAAAATGTATAAAATTAGTGTGTTTCTAAAAGAATCACCTCAAGCTAATTTTTCAGATTTATTTTAGATTTTGAGTTATGTGTGTGCACATGCTCTCTCCCTCTCTCTCTGAAGCCCAGAAGAGGGTGTCAGAGCTCTTGGAGCTGGAATTACAGGTAATGTGAGTTGCCTCATTTGGGAGTTGGGAACAGTCACAGTAGTCACAGCTCTCTTAACCCCTAGCTGTCTCTAGAGCCATGGCACCTACCCTAACCCTTTTCGTTAAGTTATAACATACTCTAGTTTAGAATGTCTGACAAGTCACTAAAAACAGCCCAATCAAACTTTGAAAACACAAAATGTATCACAAAACATGACAGCAGCCTCCAGTGGGGCCTCTCCTTATTCCTCCTCAGTTTCAGAAGAGCCTGGGAAAGCAATGCCCCTCTCAGGAGGTGTGGCTTCTCCAAAGAATGCTGTGGACACATTGTCCTAGCCTAGAGGTGTATTTATAGAGCAGTTTTCTCAGGGAAAGCCCCTTTGCCCAGGCGGGGAGTGCAGGGGCGGAGGATCAAAGGCAGAAGGCCTCTTGGGGGCGGGGGACGTTTTGAGGCCAGGCAGCTTTCTGTGCCAACCCTGGCTATTTACAGCCCCCTACCTATGAGGACGCCCGACTACAGGACAGGCAGGCTTTGCCACCTAAAGGTGGGTGGGAGAGGCAAGGCCTCCTTTGACATTTGTAACTGCTGAGATCTGCCGGCCACAAATAGTTCTTCCCATTAAGAAATGGCTGTGCACCAAAGAGCCCCACAGCTGTCACCTCCCTGGACTCGGTGGTCTAGGGAGCTTTCCGACGCCTCAGCAACTTGTGAAGGGTGAGATTAAATCTGTGGATCCTGCCTCAAACATAAAAGGGATTTGTTTTTTTAATAGAAAGATTATGTAAGAGCTGAGTCTAGTGGTTCATACCTGCTATCCCAGTGTTTGGGAGACTGTGGCCAAAGGATTGCTTCAAGGCCAGCCTGAAGCAAGAGTGAGTTTCGGGCCAGCCTGGGTTAAAGTGAGACCCTGTCTTTAAAGAACAAGCTAAGAAGAAGAAGAAGCAGATGCTTGATCAAAAGCATCTCTAGGGAAGGGGCAAATAAAAAACAAAGAGTGAGCGCTGACCCATCCGGGCGTGGTACCGAGTTCTTATAGTGCCAGCACTTGGAAACTGGAAGCAGGAAGACCCAACTATATAATATAGCTAGGCCCGCCAAGGCTGTCCTATTCCATAAGGCCCAACAGACGGCCAAAGCGCACGGATCAGACTCTTCGAAACAGTGCATCCCCTCTCTGCAGGCTGCCTTTCAGAATGTGCCATGCAGGCTGCCGGGGCAGGCATCAGCGGCCCAACCCAGCAGGGGACCCTGCGTGCACCAATACCAACATGCCAGGCAAGCTCCGCCCACAGGTGCAGTAGCAGGGTAACCAACAGCTCTTAGGTGGGCTCTGGAGTCCGAATCTGCAGTCTTGGAGGGATACCCTGGCCGGGAGGCCAGGCCCCGGGAGGAGCCTGCTTTGGGTATTTTGCTAAGGGGTCATGCTGCCAGGTTGCCCTCTGGAGTTTTCTGTTGATGACCACAGCCTCGGGCTGGTCTCAGCTTGGTCAGAGAACCTTGTTTTTGCAGTGGGCAGTTGTCAGTACAGAGAGGGTAGCTGGTCGGAGCGGCCGGGATAAGAGACTGAGTGGGGGCTCAGCCCTTCACCGGTCCCCTTTATCAGTTCACCAGCACAACCCTGGCTCAGGAAGAGCGCAAAGGTGGGGGAGAGGGAGGGTGCTGTGGCGTGCTGTCTCCTGCGTGTGACAGGGATTGTCACAGTCACGAAATCACAGCATGGCTACTTATACAAGAGCCAGCCATTCAAAATTCTGGCATGGCTGATTCAGGTGCGCGTGAGTGCATGCGCGCATGCGTGTATGTGTTCCTGGGCGTGTGCCTGCATGTGCGCATGCGTGCACTCGTGAATCCCCTAACCCTGAAGACAGAAACAGGAAGATCTGCACCTTTGAGTCCAACCTGATCTACAGAGCGAGTTCTGGGACAGCCGGGGCCGCACAGAGAAACTCCCATCTTGATGGAGAAGACCCGGCTGAAGAGATGGCTCTGTGGTTAAGCGCACAGGCTGTTCTCACAGAAGACTGGAGTTCAGTTGCCTGTGCTGGCCTGGTCTGTGCTTTGTATTTGCTTGTTGATTATTTGGCCCCCTGAGGTCTGCTTGCGGTGTCTTAGGAGCAGCTGCTTGCTCATGCATCCCAAAATGATGTTTGTAATCCTCGCCTCCAAATTATCACTGATGGAGTGAATAGGTGCCTACACACCTGAGCAGGACAGAAATAAGGTAGGCGTGGCCAAAGTTTGCAGGCTTGGAGGAGAGAAAGGTCACAGGGGAGAAGCAGACAGGTCGGGGAGAAAGAGGCACAGTCACCATAGGAGAGGCGAGCAACCACACGGGCCCAGAGGAGGAACAGGTGGAGACAAGAGGCTCACGCGGCAAGCATGTGCCAGGGTTTCTGGGGACTCGGGGTGGGAAGTAGCCAGATAGGAATGATTAAAGCAAATGGCATGGGATGAGGGCCTGAGAGGTAAGAAGGAGATTAGCCCCAGGTGAGACGAGGCTTGTTTAAATACAACAGGTGTCTGTGTCTTTTGTTGATATGGTATTGGGTTAGTGATACTGCCACAAGAATTATAGGCATTTAATAGTAAGCATTATTAGCAAATTATATTTTCTACAAGTATCCACAGCAGGCAGCTCACAATCTCCTATAACTTTAACTCCAAGGAATCAGACCCCCTCTTCTGGATTCTGTGGGTGCCTGTACTCACACGTGAACAAACCCACTTGTACACACAGACCCACACACATGCACATAACTGAAAAGAAAAGAAATCTGAAGAGGAAAAAGGGGAGGAACTGGGAGGTGAATATGATCCTATTTCATTGTATATATGTATGAAAAAGGAAGATACTTTTTAAAGACCCCCAGCAGACTGGCTTAATAATGAGGAGTTTCAGAGATGGCTCAGCAGTTAAGAGCTACACCTGCTGAGGACCCAGGTTCTGTCCCCCATGGTGAGTCATAAGTGTCAGTAGCTCTAGTTCTAGGAATTCCAACACCCTCTTCTGGCCTCCGTGGACACAGGCACTAGGCACACTTATGGTGAGCTGACATACAGGCAAACACTCGTGTCTGCTTGTCTGCTTGTTTGTTTTTGACACAGGGTTTCTCTGTGTAGCCCTGGCTGTCCTGGACTTACTTCGTAGACCAGGTTGGCCTCAAACTCAGAGATCCTCCTGCCTTGTCTCCCCGAGTGCTGGGATTACAGGTGTGGGCCATCACGACCCAGCTAAATAAAAATATTTTAACAATCTCAACAACATGCCCTCAGGGGGTAGCTCAGCTCAGGGGGTAGCTGAGTGATGGACTTAGCACCTACCATCAAAGCCCTGGGTCTGACCCCCAGCACCAAATCAATGGTCATTTAGTTACAGTCATGTATGTATGTAGCATTTACTCTGCCTGGGGCTGTTGGGCTTCGTATGTATTGTGTCACTTTGTCCAGTTGTAGCTCTGAACAGTGGGGACTGTTATCTATTTATAGGCATGTAAACAGAGAGAGAGTCCTAATGCCAAATGTGATGCCCTTGCCTGTGACTCTTGGGCTCTTGATCACGTGAGCTCAGGGTTGAGAAGAGAATATCCTGAAAAACTTGACTCTGAAAAACTCAAGAAAGGTACCAGTTTGCCACCCCTGGCCTTCTCCTCAATTTTCTTTTAAAATTATTTATTTTTATTTATCTGCATTGGTGCCTTGCATGCATGTATGTCTGTGTGAGGGTGTCGGATCCCCTGGAACTGGGGTTTCAGACAGTTGTGAGCTGCCATGTGGGTGCTGGGATTGAACTCTTGAAAAGCAGCCAGTGCTCTTAGCTGCTGAGCCACCTCCTCAGCGCCCTCCTGGGTTTTCTGTTGTCTCTGTCTGTATGTTTGTCCTAGGCCTCAGATTTGCTGTGTAGACAAGAATGACCCTAACCCCCTGATGCCCTTGCCGCTACCTCCCCAGTGCTGGGGATTACGGGTGTGGGCCCCGTGTCAGCTTGCTAACTATATGTTTTGTGTACAAGCAAATGTTACAAGAAATTCTGATAAACTTACTAAATCCTTGTTCCTACAGAGTATCTATATTGTCAGCGCTGACTGAGGCAGGAGGACTGGAAGTCAAAAACCTGCCTGAGCTATGTAGCTGGGTGTTGAATTAAATGACATATACAGCTGAGTTATTCTGCCCGATGGGTGCTGCATCCCTTTAGTTCCAGCACCTGGGAGCGAGAGGCAGGGGGATCTCTGGGAGTTCGAGGCCAGCCTGGTCTACAGAGCAAGTTCCAGGACAGCCAAGGCTACATAGAGAAACCCTGTCTTGAAAAACCAAAATCAACCAAACAAAAACAAAACAAAACTCTCATCCCGAAACCTGAGTTATCCTGGCAGATGTCACCCTTTCCCGAGAAGTGCTGACGCTGACACAGAACCCAGGAGGAATCTGAAGCTGTGTGTCTCGGGGTGTGGTCATGGCAACCAGTTCCTGAAAGTCTGGCTTTTGATTTTCCTCCTCTCAGAGTCACGGTTTGCTCATCTCTGTTCTTCCACAAACAACGTTCCATTCACAACAGTTACACGCCTGGCTGGTGGCTAGCCATGGTTTCCTGGTTTGTCACTCGGACCCATACAGCTCTCTCTCATTGAAGATGTCCTTCTGACCTTTAAGCTTTGGCTTGGTGCAGCTCACTCCCCACACTGTTCTGGAGGACACTGCCCTGCCTCCTCTCCTTCCAGGTGGATCCTCTAGCAGAACGTGTGCTCTGTGTGTGCCCATCCTGCCTGGCACACCGTGGCTATTTATTACATGCTGTGTGATGAGCAAGAGGAGCGAGTGCTTCCTAAACAACCCTGGCCACATTCCAGCACTTTCTGACTATTGTCTCATGCCGCCCTGGGTGAGCTGGTTCTTGGGTATTGAGACAATGAAGAAACAGGACGTGACCTATTGGGCAAGATGAGGACCAAGGTGTGGATGGGCACCCTGGACTCCCAGGCAGCTGCTCTGTGAAGTCCAAACTTAACCAGGATCTCCAAAGCCGGAGTCCTTCTTGGTCTTATCTGTGTTTCCATCTATGAGCGTCTCCCAGCCATGCCCAGGGGTCCCCATGCTGAGCATGTCTGCTTGCTGATGAAGGCTTTCAGAACAGGAGGTACATACTTCCTGGATGAACTGACCAGATCTGACCTTGACAAGCATAAGGGTTACACAACCAGCAGTGCTATGACAATTATGTTAAGTGTGTTTGAATGCCTACAAATCCCCCTACGTTTCTTCTTGGGAAACAAGGCCACTAGCTGGAGCTTCTGGGTTAGATTTCTAGAATGGCCTCTGCTGATTGGAAAGGCTTCTCAGATGATGGTCTTGGTGCTGTCTTGACCTAACCATCTTACAGAATTTTGAGAATTTATTTATTTATCGTGTGTATGGGTGTTTTGCCTGCATGGGTGTGTACCCGGTGCCCATATTGTTCAGAAGAGGAATTCCCTGGAATTGGTGTTGGGACCTGAACCCAGGTCCTCTGCGAGAGGAACACACATTCTCAACTGCTGGACCATCTCTCCCATCCCCATTTGACGTATTTGATTAAATGGTAGCTATTACGAGGTAGGGGAAAGAATGACTAGGACTCCCTTCATCTGACACAAGCCCTCCTGGGGCCCTGTCCCTAGGGTCTTAAGGAACAAAGTAGCTGCACATATGGTCATCTGTCTGGGAAGCCCATAGTGGTACCCAAGCCTGTGGCTGTTGCTGGGCCCTGGGCCTGGAGACACAGGAAAGTGCAGGACAGGGAGCTTGCCTTCTGTGAGACCTGTGGCCTTGGGTGCTTTGAGCCTCTGCTTTCCCCTCTATGAAGTCTTGGCTAACAGCAGAACCTAGCTTATCTATTCATAGGCTGTTATTAAAACTAAAAGAGAGAGAGTGTGTGTGAAAGCTGTAGTCGCATACAAAAATAGCACAATGTTATAGTTAATGATGCTGTAAGAAAAACATTATTTTTAGCTGATGTACCACTTCAAGTCGCCTGCCCTGATGCCTGTGGTTCTTGGCTCATGGTGCTTCGGCTCCAGTAGGACACTCTTAGCCTTTCTACTGACAGCATAGTCATATGTTTTCAGGCTGGGTGACCACAATGGGCAGTGGTACATGAGCCGCTGGACAAGGCACTCCAAGAAATTGTGTGTGGCTATCTGGATGAAACCTGCCTTCTATTTCTGTTGTTTTCTGAGACAAGGTGCCAATACAGAGCCCAGCCTGACCTGCCTCTGCCCCCTGAGGGCCAGAGTAAAGGCCAGGCAAGAGATAGGACCTCAGCCAACATGGTACTAGGGCTGAACTCGGACCTCAGCCAGTGTGGTACCAGGGTGAGAAATTACCTCTGTAATTTCTTCCCGGCTTAGCTGGTTTCCTGGGCTGGGATCTGAGATGACCCTGGACTGAGGAATTTCTATGGATTTTGAGAGTAAATACTCTGGGGGGGGGGGGGGACACAAGACCACTGAAGGAAGGTGGGCACTGCCTAGAAGGAGGGATTCCGGCTGAGGCCTCGAAGCTTGTGAGAATACAGAGGAACCTATTGTTTCATTCCTCAGTCTGGAACTACACTTAACTACTGACCACAGCTGAACTGTGACCAATTCTCAGATCAACGGCAGATGCTGGAGCAAGGGAAATAATGCATTTTGTCTGGAGTAAGTAAGGTTATATAAACCTGCCTTCCTCCTCAAGTGTCTCCTAGGAAGACAGCAGGGTGATTCATGTGGTAACCTGGCTGACGCTGGGCCTGTCAGATCATCTAAGAACCTAAACCAAGAATGTTCCACACAGAGTCCCGAACACAGGGAGCTCTGCTCTGGAAGTGACAGGGTGCTGTCAAGTCACTGGAGGGTACCTCTTTAAGAATTAGGGAGAAGATCAAGAAGATCGGGGTGGGGGGAAGCAGAATAAATCATTTCCATCCCCGTGGCCTCTAACAAAAAAGTGTCTTTTCTTCCTGGGCTGTGGTGGTCCAGCCTCTGGCCACAGGTCAGCCTTATCTTGGGACTCTTGCCCTCATGCATCTTGTTCTGACAGCTAGACATTTCCAGAGAGAGCCAGCTTAGTGTCCAATTAATCATGACAAATGGCGTTGAAGGCTTAAGAGACCCAACCGGTAGGGAGAAGGGCACAAGCCTCTACTGTGGTCAGAGGTGGGCCAGCGAGCCGCAGGAGAGGCAAGAATTTCCAACATACCAAGGGCCTGAAGTCAGAGGTAGGAGAGCCCCAGCTATGAGGGAAGCAAGCTGAGGCACGAGGTAACTTGTCTGGCCTCTGACCACAGGCTCTAGCCCATCCCAGTGAACAAAGTGTGGCCTGAAATGGGACCTTATCTGCCCCGGCGCCCAGCCGATCGTGTTTGCTTACAGTCTCCCTTAACCCCACCACAGCTGTGGGACCTTGTCCTGGCTCTCGTGTTCTTCACACAGCTTTCTCTTCTGGACTCTGCACACCCCCCCTTTCCAGTTTTACTATTCAGCCAGGCCCTGACACCTCATTAGATAGAGCTCTCTGTGGAGACATAACTCAGTCAGTCACTAGACAAGACTGTCACCTCCTTGGGACCAACCATTTTGCCCAATCCCGGTGGCTGCTTTCCCACCCCCCACCCCAACCCAGGCATCTCTAAATGTGTGCCTGACAATTCCCCTTGGAGAATGCCTTACACAATCCCAGAGAGAGGCGCCTGGCTCTGACTTCCCGAGGGAAATTTGCTGGGAACCAGACACTGCTTTGCACCCTCAGGCACGGATCTTTGGAACAAGTCCCCTTTGATTTGTTTCCCCATAACAACTGAATTTCCAGTCCAGGAGCTCATTGCCCCATTGTCCCGGGTAGGTTTTGTTTGGTTTGGTTTGTTGTCAGTTTGATACAAGCTGGAGTCATCCGGGAAAAGGAATCAAAACTGAGGACATCCCCCCCATCTAATTCTCCTTTAGGCCAGCCTATGGTGTCATTTTTTTTTTTTTTGGTTAAGGACTGGTGGGGGAGGGCTGGACCTCTGGGCTGGTGGTCCTGGGGTTATAGAAGAAACCAGGCTGAGCAAGCCAGAGGGAGGCAGCCAGTAAGCAGCACTCGTCCATGGCCTCTGCTTTGGATTCTACCTCCAGGTCCCTGCCTTGCCGTCCCCTGATGATGGGCCTGTGACCTCTAAGCCAGATCATCGTGTTCTTTACCACACAACAGAAAACAAACCAGAACAGAAGTTGGTACCAGGTTTGTGGGAACTTGCTGTGACAGACCTGCTCACATTCTGAGGAGGACTGTGGAGGGACTTTCTCACTTTGGGCTAGAAAAGCCACTGGGTGCTCAGAACTTAGTGGGTTGTTGTAGGAACTAGTAACGAGATGCTTTGAGCAGTGTGGATGATGGAGGCCTGGCCTCTGAAGTTTCAGAGGGAAGGCTCTGTCAGAGCCATTCACATGCTAGTTTGTATTAAGAATCTGTGATTCACGGGGCTGGAGAGGTGGCTCAGAGGTTAAGAGCACTTGCTGTTCTTCCAAAGGTCCTGAGTTCAATTCCCAGCAACCACATGGTGGCTCACAGCCATCTATACTGTGACTTGGTGCCCTCTTTTCTAGCTTACAGGCACACCTGCAGGCAGAATACTGTATACTGTATAAATAATAAATAAATCTAAAAAAAAAAGAAGAATCTGTGATTCTGGTCACCTGAAGAGCCAGGCATGATTAAGAAGAGGCCAGAACCACTGAAGTGAAGCCTTTACTCTACTGGATAATTGACACTGGTGCTGGGGCTGTGATTAAGAGGTGATCAGCATCACTGAGGTAAAACCTTCTGGGAATACTTCCGCAGCCCAGCTCTGCCGGCACTTGCAGAGAGACTAGGATCCCAGCATCAGGAAGCTGATGCCTTTATTTAAGTGTGTGTGCATGTGAGAGTATGTATACATACATATGATACCCCACCACAGCTGTGGGACCTTGTCCTGGCTCTCGTGTATCATATGTATGATGGGGCGTTCAGAGGCCAGAAGAGAGGTCTCAGAACTACAGTCTAAGCCTCAGGAGTTGGTGCTGGGAACCAAACCCAGGTCCTCTGGAAGAGCAGCAAGTATTCTCAACTGCTAAGCCATCTCTCTAAATCCCTCTATTACTTTATTTAGTTAGTTCATGCCTTTCTTTTGTCTGTTTGCTTGTTTTGTTTTTTGAGACAGGGTTTCTCTGTGTAGCCCTGGCTGTCCTGTCTGTAAACCAGGCTGGCCTCGAACTCAGAGGTCCTCCTGCCTCTGCCTCCCGTGCTGGGATTAAAGTCCCGTCCCACCACCAAGTGTGACACACCGGGCACACCAAGTGTGGCTGGCTGTCACTTTGGCTCTTTAAACCTTCCATCTTCTCCATTTTTTTATGTGTGTGGCTGAGCACACGCATGCCCACGTGGAAGGCAGAGAAAACTCTCAGTAATTGGTTACCTCCTTCCACTTTGGAGCTGCTGGGGATCGAGGTCGGGTCTTCAGGCCACCTCGCCACCCTCGACATTAAAACGTTTTGTCTATACGGGTATGTGGGGACATGTTCTCATGCCCCCTCCTTCCTCCTGTAGGCCTCAGGTGGAAGCTGGGGAAAGTGGTTGTTTTAATTGCCCATTAAACGTTTTTATGTTTTGTTGAGGCAGAGTGGGGGGCTGGGAGGCTCTGCCCTTGCTTTGCACCTTTCGAGGACCTGTCATCAGTGACTGACATACCACCATCAAGGCCTCAGGTTTCGGGAGGTTTGCATACCAAGCGAGGCTGGTGGCTGCTACAAGCTGATGGCTGAGAACAGGTGGGTCCTCAGGACTGGCCAGAGCCAAGCCATCCAAGCAAAGATTCTAGAGAAGCCAAAGAGAACATTCCCTTCCCTGCCTCCACCTATGGGGGAGCTGGGTGCAAAGGCAACTGCCAAGCTGGGCACAGGCCCCTCACAAAGCCACTGACGTGCTGAACTTAGCAAAGTGTTCATGAGGTTGGCAGAGTGCTGAGCCAGTTGGCTCTGCCTTCTCCCCCAAAATGTGAGGGCTCAGTGGAGGCCAGGGTGTGGGCCTACAAGGACAGTGGCTTTGGTGACCTGAGCAAAGGGCGTCATTGTGGAATCTCTCCAAGAACTGCACAACAGGCATTTGGGAGGTTAGCCAAGGCTCTGGTGAGGCCTTGATGCTTAAGTGAGAGTATAGGTCAGGGGAGCTCGGGGCCACCTGAGGACCTAGAGGAAGGTGTATCACAGTCTCCTGACTAAGAAAGCAACATTAAGGATGCAGAGAAGGTTTCCCCAGAACCAGGCATGGGAAGACATCAGCCGAGGCCCCCACCCCGTCTGTCCTTCTCCAGGGAGCCCTGTACAGTTCAGGTGGGATTTATCACTTACACGCTTTTGTTTGTTTTGAGATAGGGTCTCAACTACACAGCCCCAGCTGGCTTGGATAGCCCAGGCTGGCCTTAAACTCATGGCAATCCTTCTGCCTCAGCCTCCCAAGTGTTAGGATTATAGGTGTGAGCCACCATGGCCAGCTTCTTCTTCTTTCCCATTTTTGCTTGTTTCTCTTTTATAACATTGAGGTTCTAAACTAGACCCTTATTCATGCTAGGCAGTGTTTAATGAACTGAGTTCCCCAGTCCTGATGTTGCTTTCAGGATTAATTTTTGTTTAAGACAATATTTCCCAGCCTGGTCTTGAACCTCCAGGGGCTGGAGGTGCCTCATCTTCCCCAGCAGTTGGATTGGGTCTATGCCTGTAGCTTTTCTTTCTGTTGTTTACTGAATACATCAAAGCTAGCCCCACCTCATTTAAGCAACACTCTCCAACATTTACTCTGCAGCCTCCTGGCCATTTAGGTGTCAGTGCAAATGTTATTTACGTGAGTGAGAGCCCCAGTCATCCTTTCTAGTGTTGGGCACCAGCCCACGTCAACGCCTCCTACTTCATTCTCTCATTTTCTTCTTAAAGATTTGTCATCCAGCCAGGATGGTGGCATATGCATGTAATCTCAGCACTCGGGGAGGCAGAGGTAGGTGGATCTCTGTGAGTTTGAGGCCAGCCTGTTCTACAAAGCAGGTCCAGGACAGCCAAGGCTACACAGAGAAACCCTGCCACAAAACAATCTCTCTCTCTCTCTCTCTCTCTCTCTCTCTCTCTCTCTCTCTCTCATCTTTTGATGACAGTATGGTGGTCACATCTTTAAAATCCCAGCACATGGGGGAGGTAAAGGCAGGGCATCACTGTGAGCTTGAGGCCAGCCTGGTCTGTGTAGGTATTTTGCCTGTTTCTATGACTATACACCATGTGCATGCATGGCCTCAAGAGGCCAGAGGAAGATGAGAGATCCCCTAAACTGACTTCTGAGCTGCCGTGTGGGTGGTGGGAATCAAACCGTGGTTCTGAAAGAACAATATTAGGTCCCAACCCCCTAAACTCCCAAAATGGCAGCACCACTAACAGTGTCCCCAAATGACGGTCTGGGCCCAGCTCAGAATGGACTCTGACAGGATTAAAAAAAAAGTTTGCCTGGGGATAGACAAAAGCTTACACTGAGCATTCTCCAGACACCTATGACATGGGTTTCTTCCAGGAAGAGCCATTTCCCTCATCTTCCCCTACCAAATGGGGCATCTAGCTCCGTATTTGCATATTCCTGGAACGCAAACCAAAACCCCTGGGCTCTTCTGACTCTCTCCTCTACCACCACTCTGAACTTCCAGGCTGTTCTGGCTTCTGTGCCTTCCTCTGGGAAGGCTTTCCCTACCTTTTTGCTATCCTCTCTGGCCCCTGAGAGATAGCGGTGGCAATTTCAACAAACTTTTCCTTTTCCACGCACAGCTCAGTGGCTTCACTGTAACCTCCCACGCAAGCGACAAGGCAACATGCGTTCTTAACTGCTGCGGCATCTCTCCGGCTCTTTCTCCTTTTCATTCTCTTTTCTTTCCCC